ATTGGTATTATTACCACTGGATAGCGCATTCGTACCGAGGAGGTACAAAACCATTCATCCGTTCCCATTAATTTACATTCAGCGACTACCAAATGATCACATCACAAGGTTCGGTATGTGGTAAAGGTTCACCCATACTAAGCAATTTCTACTGTGTTATCCAAATCATATCTCTTATGCCTCATATCTCTGTGTGTGCAAACCATAAACTGACTAAAATATAACAACGCTAATATACGTACCGAAAATTGTCTATATTTGTCTGTTACATTTTGAAACGTGTCCCCTTACTCGTGCTCACCAATGCTCAGCGAGTGAGTGGCAGCTGATTCAATTAGGAGTGGCTTATCACGACCAGTTGTCCAAATCCTGGTGTTCATTATAAAAGCGAAACAAGATGAATGACATTATCACCTAAAACAAAATTCGCATCTTTCACACTGTCCTAACGATAGACAACGCACAATCAAAGGAACAGAAAACGTCAACTAATGAATTTCACGGTCCAGTCGAGCAAAGAGCAGCAAATGTCTGGACCTTTGAGGTTATTGGGTCAACGCAATCTGAACGGTGCGTTCCAGAATTCGCGGGCTACAATGTAATCTATCGAACAAACACAAGCGTATTCAACCATAGGCACAAAACGGACTAAATTAGGACGACTATGGATGCTTACCAATTGGGCGACTATGCTTTATGGACACGGTCTTTTGGGAAAAGAGAAAACTGAATACAATACAATACCAATGCTGAAGAGCGATTGGTAGAACGAGAGTTATAGTTTTTGCCTATATGACGGCTACTCGCGTGAAGCTTTCAAGTGACCGTTTGGGTCAAATCTTAGGTGAACGTAGAATGAAATGAAGAATTACTTACTCGCTAGCACTTAGCCCACTCGATGTCCATGGATTAAAACGTGGGACTGTTACTACTCCCTACTCTCCGTTTCAATCTTTCCCACTTATTTGTATAGTCACTTTTCTTGCTATTCCACAAACGAGCCGACATCATTCGGGTTAGACTTCATGAACCGTGATTATTGAACCGCACACTGAACTGCTGTTCGCTTTTTTGGCAGCCAGTATATATTGACCATAATGCATCAAATTTCATCCGCTACCCGATAGGACTCGGACATTTATCCGCGTGTTTTCGTTTACCCAGAGCTCACATAATTCATCGCATTCATTTCCCTCGACACTAAAGCTGGTGATACAATTTTTCATGCGACCCCTGCCACCCACTAAATTCCGGATTATTTAAATATATTTTCATCTCTTCGACTCACTCTAAGTAGAAACCTGAAGCACGTACGAAAGCATGCAACTCCTCCGCAGTTCCTTATCTCATTCTTTTTTGTCACCCAAACAGTGCATTTGTGATTCATACATAGCATTTATGATGGGATGGAATTGTGTAACGGTCTCCATAGAGAGCATTGAACAACCGCGGCGCTTTTTGTTAGGATTTATTCTCATCGCATGATACTTTGGGTCCGTATCGCGAATCAAACCTCGACTCTTCGGGTCAAGAGTTGAAACTTTTGCTGCTAAACTACACGGTCGATGGCCAACACTTTGAGTGACCATTTTGACCATTTTATTTTTCCAACTTGCATCAATTTCCTCTGCAACAACAACAACAACAACCAGTAGCGCGCTTACTGCAGCTCATCGTAGAAACTAGCATCACTGAAAAGTTTCATGGGCTGGTGTTCCCCATTGCCTGGCTTTCGGTAGCCTTTGCCCGCTTTGTGTGTATTCGTTGGCATCTTGGACGACAGTAACCGTGCGTAATCAGAGTAAAAACGTTCATCGAAAACGGTCTTAGGAGAAACAATCAAGAAATAGCCCACCACTGCGGATGATATGTAGAAAGGATAGAGAACCCACCACCCACCTCGACAACGAACAATGTAGGTCTGAGTAAATATACTTGATGATGCAGCCCTAAATACATAGATCTGTTATGGACAAGACCGAAGAGTGGACATTTCTTGAGACAATTCATTCTAATGGTTGCCTAGGTGCTGAGATAACCGGGAAATATTTTCGTATCCCCTTCTAACCACGAAAAGTGTGTCCCCCAGATCTGTAATAACGAGTCAAGTGTGAACACCTTTACTTGCAACGGACTATATTGTGGGATGTGTTCCGCACAATCGAAGAAGAACTTACGCGGTTAACGATGCAACCTCTGCGGAAATTAATGACTCACTGAATTTGAATACACACTTTTTTTCGTTTATTAGTTATCCTTTAACGTACCTTCAGAATAGCTTTGTAGTGGTTGGTTCGCTGTGGATGGGGCCAAACAAAAGCTCTATTCCCCCGACAACCGGCAACAAGCAAACTACGATTTGGCCAGGGTGCGCATCCCACTACAGCATGGAATTCAAATACTGTCTGCATTTTAGTTGTCTCTCTGTGCCGTAATGTGGCCTTGATCAATGAATCATTTTACTTTCAACTCCCTATTTACCGATTTTAAAAATGTGTGATTGCAACCACTTTTGTTGAGATTGAAGCGGTACTTCCGCCCAAATTATTCATTCAGTACGGAAGTCGGGTGTGTATTTGTTGTTTTATTGTACAACTGGTATATAGTGAATCTGTTCTTTTTCGGGACACCAGCTGACCCCAAATATCGTTGTTGAAACATGCGAACCACGAATTCAAAGACTGATCCAAATGACCGTTTGGCCTCTCCAGGAGGCATGAATTTCTCGGATGTTTACAGTTTTAATCTGGAGACTACTTTGCATAGTCCAGCTAAGCGCAAAGATATCAGGGTGTACGTTGTCGACCAACACAATGCTATCGGTCGCCCTTCATTTACCAGTGAGGATGACTCCGCACCCCCATTCAAATTCATTGATTTATTTTGACTTTGTGAAGAAAACAGACAGCTTTTGGTGTTCTTATCCGGGCTGTGCTTTAACACAAGAGTATGGTTTCAAAATTTGGTCTATCACGTAATACTCGACTTACGTTGTCGCCCTTATGTGGTATTTACGCTTTGACCCCGAGCTTCTCTGTTGACGCAATCAAGATTCCTGTCCGTACAAATGCACTCAGAAGGACAACTATTTGCTTTCCGTTCATATTTGATATGTCGAGGCTGAGTTACATAATTGATCAGCCGAACATTTTCCGAAATGGGTTCACCACAAGGTCAGTATGAATCGCAGCTGAGCACAAATCCAGTACACAAAATGTTTACTTCATCAACCGTGAGACGTGTGTAAGTAACTTAACAACATGATCGTAATAAATTATTCATAATAATCTATTTCGTCAGAAGCTCATGGTTACCGCGACTTGTTGGAGCAGTAGCATTCAGACGATGGAAACTTAACTTGTGCCAACAGAAAGTTACGTTGGTTTTACCCTAGTAAGGGCAAACATTTCACTCCCTCTTACTGTGAGTGAATGTACCCTAATATTTGAATTTTTTTCCTGCAGTAAAACCTAACGGAGATACTGCGAAATTATCCCGAAAATACATTGTGCGAATTCTCAATTTTGTGTTCTGTGTTAAAATTTCTATCGGAAAAATGATACTTTAAATACATCGATGCGAATGCACTAAGGCAGATGCGTGTCCTCAAGCCATGCAATCGTATCTGTTTAGAATACACTTCGATCTCCTCATTCAATGCTTAAGCACAATGCACGGTCGAAATAGAATGGACGATGTTAAGTAAGTTGCAAAAATGGTTGTTTTGCGACTTAATAGTCAATCTGACAAAAGATTTCTTTTCTTTACCTGAATCTCTGTGAGCGGCTTCCACTCCTTTCCAATACAGAACGAGCGATGCTCATAGGCAGTGCATTTTAAGAAACACTTCGTGCACGAAACTGGATTTGCCGTCTCAGTGGCATATCCGCAACCAAGAGAATATCAACTGAACAACGAAACACACTGCAACACAATTAATGCCCCCTTCCTGATGGGATTACGGTTAACAACACGAACGAACTGTATGGGAACTGAAAAACGAGAAAGATGAGTCTACGTGTAATAGTTGTTGTCGGCTTTGCAGAGTATCCTAAGACGCATGTTGTTGATCACGTGATCAATCACTATCAGATACACTATCCACGATCAACATACTGTGCTTACTTTACTGCAACCAACTCCATCAGGATGATAGGCCGACTCCATGAATGTTTCTGATCTTATGTATCCGGCTGTGGTCATGTGTTGATGAAACCAAAATCTATTGTTGACCCGTTATTAGTCACTCCTAGTTGATCGGTTGAAAGTGTCCACTCGTTTGGTAAGAGTTCATTAAAAGTGTAATAAAAAACAACTCGTGAGTGACAAGCAAATGGAGTGAATATCCAGTAAATGAGGAGACAGAGTACAACAGTCTGTTAGGTGGAGTTTGTGAGTTTGTATATCCGATCCTAACAACAAGTTGCGCTGTCTACGGATCTGTCTGCATCTATCGCTGGGAGGGGACACGGAAGGTGGTGATGAGCTTCATTGACCGATTGACCGACTGTCAGTTACACGCGTGAAATCGTCACAGTGACCTTGATACGACCGACCAATTTGACCGAAGTGGTCATCAACGTCAACTGATCACCTTGCATCACCGATTTGATTGAGTCTGGATTGATCCGAACAGACGCGCCAGCGGAGTATTGTACTTTGTTCGGTACAAAAATCACCGCCACGGTTTCGTCCGCGGTCAGACCAGCTGTGTCCAAATTGAATTCGTATTGAAATTGACCGGTTTTGGGATCAAAACGAAGATAGACTGGTGAACCCCTGGTTGCCACTGGATACGGGCGCACGAAGAACTTGATCTGTTTGTGAGTGTTTCACAATGGGATTGAGAACGCAGTAGGGCAATGAAAGACAAACCATTAATCAGGGATTGCACACTATTTCATCGGGGATTCGGCTGATTTTTGTCCAACGAATGAATGTCGGCCAACAGAAGCAAATGGATGATTGCAATAGCTCATCAGCTAATCATTGTGATCAGGATGCGTATGAGTTGTGTTGGTGTGAGGAGATTATGAATCAACTCGTTCAAGTGTTGACAAAATACTATACATTCTCCAGTATAACACCGTGTCAAGTCCCTGAATAGTCACTAGCTCCACCACAATTAGCACCTTGCAAATTAAGGACTGCACAATCTTTAGCCAATTAACAGTTTTGAACACCTTGTATTTTATTGACCAGGAGATTCAATTATTTAACATAATCGTGCTCAATTATACTCAGATCTCAACTAACCTGTGTCTCGATCGGATTTCCCAAAGTGTCCAAGAAATTCCCGTCCCAATAAGTCCACGACTGGAATTCCTGGTCCGCCTTGAGCATCACAGCATCACATTCGACCGTGTTCACTGAGTACGGATTCCCATCCGGCCCGCACAGACCAAACTCAGTGAGGAACATGGCACCGCCGGTGTGTTCGATCGATCTGCGGCTGTTTCGGAACACCGAGGGTAATAATGCCTACCGATTAAAAAGCAAGTAAGTGATTAAAAATGAGCAGTATTTAGGAGATACGCATAAGCTATTTTACCAAAACTTTATTTAAGCTGAGAATAAACAAATGTTGATAATAAATAAAACGGGATCCGGGAACGGTGATCGTCATCCACGAGAACAAGGTCGCGCTTGCGGAAGAAACTTTTGGTTACTCCGTCAGTTCTCCACATGCACCCTATTTGAAGTCAGCTCAGTGAAACATGATTCCCGGGGAATTTTAGCTTGCTTATCGAGAACAGAATTTTTCTAAAACCTCTGAAGATTCGAGCCCACTTATCAGGTGTCCATATATATTTTAAATTGGGATGTATTTCCATCAGGACGCCCTCACTTATACTCAGAAAAGCTTTGAATAACGAACATTTATTTGGGCACAAAAAGCAAGTATTTATTCTATATACAGTAATCAGGCATCTAAAAATCGTATCCCGTAATTCGAGAGAACAAACTTAGTAAATACGCTTTGATTTGCTAAAAATGCATGTAAAACACATTTGAAGGTCGAGTTTTTAACACATCCACCTGCACACTGGACAACCCTGGACACCAGTTTCCTTTAAAAAATCAGTATTGGCTTCAGTTCTCTCCTCTCAAAATATAAACACATTCTTGTCAGGATCACATTGTTTGTGAACAATTTTGAAAAGGNAATAGCAATGGTGGGATCCGAATCCACGAATGGTTACCCTAAAGGTCAGCCGATGAAGTTCATTTGATCTGAGGAAAACATCCCAGGTGTGGTTGAGTGATTGACCAACTGTGTACAAGTTATATATGTGGCCTAGCAGTCCCTCAGAAAATACGCCGCACAAATCTTGAGCGGTGTCCATGTATATGATCGGGTCCCGCCAAGGCTACTGATCGTGTCACAATCAAATCACAGTTTTAACCTTTTCGAAATAAGTTTCAAAAACTTTTATCATTACGATACATACATAAAATAAGATAAACATGTATTCATAATAATCACATGAATACACTTTTCTTACGTAATCGCATGCGATCCGTTTCCACCATGGCATGTGCAGCTTGGGGTCAGCAGTTTGTAAAAGCCAGCAGTAATAGTGATAAGACAGAACGCTTTTCTGGGCGGCATCCGGATCTGTCAGGGAACCGGGAACCCGATTAAATCCAGTCCCGGTATCCAAAATGCTGTTAGGCATGAATACGCCATAGGTCAACGGTTCATAGAAGATTAGTGTGTTCGGATCAACCGCACGAATCCGCTCCACCAAATAGTCGTAGGTGGGTAATAGATGATGAAGACCAACATAGCCTGAAACCCAAAAGATATGCATGTGATTTGATAACCTCTAAACACAGGAGCAAATTTCATAAAAAATAGTGGAGCACTAGATCCGATAACGACGGAAATTGAATTGAGTGGTCTTGAGGGCGTTGTCTAGATAAGGGAACCTCCAAACAACTCAATCCCGAGGTGCGGTAAAATCAAACTTTTTATCACACAATTTTGTGTGATGATCTGCAGCCGGAATGAACCCCAGAGTATCAAAGAACTCTTGTTTGGTGGTGGAAATGGGCAACCTCAGTCCCGAGACATGGAGTGGCAAACCAAATAAGACCTCGCAAGATTAATTGTGGTATTTAACCGGACGACAGCGAAGCTGTCTGGCATCAAAGCTGGGTGGCGGAAGCGGGTTTCAAATCTTGGAACACGGGGGCTCAAAGCACGCCGATGACAGTGACTAATCCACTGCACAACCAACACCACTAAACATACAAGTAGGGAATGGGTTCTGGTCTCAGCGAAATCATAAGAAATATGGTTTGATAAAAGTTCGGTAAGAGTTAGCTTCAAATGAAAGAAGATAGCCTACTCCAAATGAACTTTAATTCCTGTAACTGATTGGCCTACCACTATAGGCGGAAGCGGAGAGACACAACGCCAGTAATCAATGAACCTTAAATCAAGCAAATAATATCATGACAGTGGCATAATTGTTCGAGAATAGAACAAATTTGTATGCTACACACACTAACCAGGCAAGAGCTTTTCGGGATTTTCGTAGAAGTTGCTCATCGGTGGTTCATTGATCAGTTCGTATCCGATCACGTTATCATATCTAACGAATCGTTTCGCCACTGTCTCCCAAAACTGGCCCCAATATTCCCATGTCCCTGACACATTGGTGTACAATTGATCCGCGCAGTTAACACATGCGTAAGTGAGATAATTTTCAAACCACTGATCCGGTACTTTGTGAAACGGCCAAGGATAGGCACGATTTACTGGTGGTTTTGGTAGCTCATCAACCAACCACGTCGGTATTCCATCGTAAGTGCCAAATCGAGTCGATAGCACATCTTGGTGCATATCCAGCAACACATAGATACCGAATTCATCGCATGCTTTGACGATCTCTTCCATCTGTTGCAA